CCATTATTCATCAGGATGTTAAAACACATTTGCGATGCCAGTTTAATGTGCAGAATTTCCTAAGTAAGCCATTTGTATGTTGGCTTTCCAGAAGAGTAAAGACACTTTGTGTCACTTTTAAAACATTGCATTGTGTGTCTGTTTCAGCAATTCAGCATGTCAACTTACTCAACCAATGGTGTGAGTTTGAGGCAGGACAAGCTGTTTGTCTGATCAATGGCAAATGATCCAGTAATACACTAAAAAATGCTGGGTTCAGCATGTTGGGTCATTTTATTGGGCTATTTTTTATATTTCTGTGTAGTTTTTCTGTAACAGCTGCTGGGTCCTCCTAACATACCTACCCAGCGTTGGGTCAATGTAACCCAATGTCTGTGCCAAACTGGTTAAAACTGGATACATTGTCTATGGTCATTTTGTGTTGTGTTCTGAGAGAAAACTTCCTGAATGGATTCCTGTAAAAATGTTACTGTAGTCTCACATTTTACCTTTTTTGTTTACATGTACATCGCAGCTAACCTCTGCTTGGAACGCTAGCCTTCTACAATACACTCAAAGTGAACAATGCGCCGGCGCCACTATGAAAGTTTCACCTCCCGTCAAACGAATGTACAACCAGCTGAAACACAACGCGACACCGGTTTCATGTGTAACAAAGTTGACGTGCGTTCCACTGACTACAATAGGAGCGCTATCGATCTAGTGCGCTAGCATCAGCTGTGGTCGCGCTATTCGCGCTATGCGTTTGACGGATTGAAACTTAAATGTTCGAAAGGTAAAGCTGTTTTTGACGTAACTTTGCAAACATAATGAATATATAAGATTGTCATTTAATTAACTGGAAAAGCCTACTACTGATACTAGATTTCTTCCCACATTTTCCCGTAGGATGTTCCTATCACGTCCTAAAACGCTAGTATTTTATGTCTGTGAAAGACTGACTTGCCAATGAATAAAAAAAATTGGTATATGAACTGTTCTTGTCCTATAACAGAGATTTTAGAGTCCATTTTTATTATTTAAAATGAAAAATCTTCAATATCAAGGTTGACTGACCTAGCACTATGTCAAAAAACAACCCAGCATGTGTTCTGTCCAATATTTACCCAGTGCTGGGTTGCCAAATAACCTAGAAATGGTTTGTAAGCCAGCATTTTTTAGAATGAGAAGTCATGCGAGTCTCATTTCAATAAAAATGTACCTTGCATGCAAAGTTGTGTTAAAATACCTAAAAAATGATGTACCATTAAGGATGGATGGATGGATAGATTTAAAAAAAAAAACTAGCAAGGGTCAAATGCTTATTTAAATACTCCTGTGATCCGTTATGCAGTTACAGCATACCTGGCTTGTCTGAAACAGTGCCATTAGGCAACGCACCGCTGGCTTTGATTAAAGTGTGCAGAACAGCCTTTAGTCAGGACTACTGTACATAATTACCACCTTTATTACAAAGAGGTAAATTGCACTCTAAAAAGAGCTGCATAATTACACTGCTTCACATCAGAAACATTAGTGGGCTGTTTATTGCCCGTATGAAGTGAACTTGTTAAATTATGCTCTCTTTGAAATACTTCAAACACTCGCTAACAATAAGCTAGGCCTGACTCATGCAGCCTTTCAAAGTGTGTGTGTGTGTGATGGGGAAGTTATCATAATGAACCGGCCAGTTTGATCTTCTAAAATAATCATATCTGCTGAGTGATGCTGTCTTGATGAGCGTAACTCACAAGCACGCTGATCCCAAGTCAAACATTGAAGGCCCTAAGAGACAGATAGTGGAAACTTAAAGGTTAAACTTAAAGCAGACTCTCCAGAAAAACGCGATTATGCGATCGCATGCATAATCAGCCAAAGTCCGCATATTTATGCCGGGGCCGAATTTTTCAAATACACCGCACTTTCGCCGCATAAATTGCCAGTTTCCGTGCAAAATATGCGGGGCTTGCATGAGTTCATAATCCTCGCATTTTTGTTGCAAAAAAGTCACTTATATCTTAGCAGAAAGTTGAAAAATGTTGCGTTTGCTTCACACAAGAGCAGCCGTTTCCCCCTGTTGCCATGGGAACGTTACGAAGTGACGTAATTACGCGACATGAACATCATCGAAAAGCTGTAGCTAACAGGAGCACACTTTATTTTATTCATTTTTACAGAAGTTGTAGCATATTCCTTTTGTAAAGCTACAGAACTTGTTTGACTCAATGTTTTGTAAGTTTGATGTTTTTATTAAGGTCTGAAATAAAACAAGATGAGAAATTAAATATTCCCAGCACTTTCTGTGATGTATATGCTTGCTTATCATAGGAAGTAATAAGAAATGACTCTTTACATTAAGGTAGTAGCCTAGTGAGAACAGGGTGTTGGGGAATCACTTTTTTCTCTCTTTTTCATCAAACCGCAGTTTTTGCAAGTTCCCGCAATTTCATTGCATAAAAATCCCGCATATTCCATCGCATTTTTTAAGAAAACGGGCCGCATAATCAAGGATTTTTGCCCGCAACAATCACCAAAAAACTCCGCGTTTTTCTGGAAGGACTGTTAAAGTCATTTTTTGACTGTACTAAAGCATAAAAAATACCATTATATGTTTGGAGATATTTAGGAAACATGCTAAGGTCACACACTTGTTTCTCCGAAAAAACACTTCTACAGCCAGTTATTTTACTTTGAAATGTGCGTTCCGTGTCGCAATGTCTGTTTTTGTTTTGGTCCGTGTGATTCGCCCACTGCCAATTTACTCAATAGTATTTCCACACGCCGGGTTGCCAGTTAGTGGAAAACACAGCGTATTGCAGCAATAGAAGCCAGCAAACAAACTGGGTCAGTGATTGCAGATCCAAAAAGCCTCGTCATCCATCTAAAAATCTCTACAAACAGGAGCATATTAAAACACGGATGAATCAACTCATCAATTTTAATCACCTTTTATTGTCAATTGCGCTCCCTCCTGTTGCGTGTCCTAAAGTCTTGAGTCTGAGGAGGAGGGGCGGGAGAAACAACTCTCTCCAATATTTTGAATTTGGACCACAGCAAATTCCACACAGTTCAACCGCTAACTGTCAATATTACATACTGCACCTTTAATGAGGTACTATTTTTTACGACTTTTACGATACATAAGCTAAGTGGCAGGTACATTTTGTGTGTGAAATGCAGGAAAAATAATGAAGGGATGTTATAAGTGATGTTAAAGCGTTTCAATTAAAAAATGAAAATCGTATCATCATTTACTCATCCTCATGTCATTCCAAAGCCACAAGACTTCGGTTCATATTCGGAACACAAACGATAAATATTCTCTCATCATTTTTGTCCATCCATTCAAAGTCCACGCAACCACAATTTCCAAGATTCAAAAACTACACAAAGACACTTTAACAGTAATCCATGTGAATCCAGGTCTTCTGATGAGACATGATCACCTTGGTAACACTTTACTTGAAGGGGTGTGCATAAGACTAACATGACACCTTCATAATCATGACATGACACATGTTATGAATATGAAGGAAGTTGTATGCATGTTTATGACAACTGTCATTAAGTGTCATTCGCTCAGTTATGACATTTTTAATGCAAATATGACATTGTTTGAAATGTCTTTGTTATGACACCTTGACATAAGCAAATAGATCATAACCTGTCAGAGTCGTTGTCATGACAACTTGACATTACTAAGACAACACAACCTGTCATAAACATGACCTAGCAGATTAATTATCAAACTTAAGAAAACACTTAGCTTTATTGGTTAACATTACATTAAACTGTCAGGTGGTTGGTTTTGACATTGGCTGTCATGAAGCCATTATAACTTTTTAATGACAAATTCAATTTGTACCACTGTAGTTGAGGTCACGAAAAATATTCATGACACATGACAGCCAGTGTCAAATCCAACCACATGACAGTTTAACTTAATTTAATGTCAAGTTGTCATGACAAAGACACTGACAGGTTATGATGTTATGGTTTATGTCAAGATGTCATAACAAAGACATCTTAAACAATGTCATATTTGCATTCAAAATGTCATTATTGAGCGAAAGACACTTAATGACAGTTGTCATAAACATGCATAAACCCTACTTCATATTCATGACATATGTCATGTCATGGTTATGAAGATGTCATGTCAGTCTTATGCACACTCCTTCAAGTAAAGTGTTACCATCACCTTATATGACGAACAACAGATTTAATTTAGGCATTGATTAATGCACACAGAGTACATCAAATTTGGTAAACTGAAGCTCAAACATGCGTTCCTGACATGAAAGAGCCAATGATGTTTGTTCTCAAGTGTAAAACTTGCATATTTGAGCTTGAATGACATGAGAGTGAGTAAATGATGACATATTTTTGGGTAAACTAGCTCTTTATGACGCTACAATGCTTGTTGATGATGTGTATTGTGTGAATGGGTGTGGTATGAATCTAAACCAGACATTCTACATCCGCCATGTTGGAATTGTCATGTGACCTACATTGTCAACCACATCAATGTTCAACAGCATTTTGCCGTAATCAGTAGGTCAGCTATTAGGACATTCTTCTTTTCACATAGTAGAGGATTAAACTAGATTGGTCTATGTGATTGCATCATCTATGGCAGGCAAAACAATTTGTCAGATGAAAAGCCTCACTTCAACATGAATATTTAATCCATAGCATCATTCATATCATATCCTTAGCGAAAATGGCGACTTGTGTGTCATATAATGAGCAATAGCAGTGATGTTAGCCTGACTGCAGTGCACACACACCAGTAATCAATAAAAGAGCTTGATGAGGTCGCCACTAAAACCAGAGAGCACTCGTCTAACGAACAACATGTGTCTATGATATCATATATATATAATGATGTCATAGCATACAAAAATCAAAGCCCAAAATCAGGGAAAATCTGAGAGGGAATCTAAAAATGTTTGCCAGCTCATTTGAACATCATAACATATTCCAGTATTGTTATTGTCTTGGCATTCTGCAAGCTTTACCTTAATGCCCTCACAGGCTTTGCCTTTCTTGTACTCTTTTTGGCTGGCTCTTTTGTCCAGTTTACTCCACAGGGCTTTGGCCTTCCAGCACGTCATCATGCTCTTCAAACAGCTGTAGAAGGTGCTGTGCTCCAGAGGGTCCAGCTCCAGGTAACTGCACATTATATTGAAGGCCTGTAGGGTACTTTTACAGTCAGCGGCCTGAACAAAGTTCTCAAACAGACGTCCTGCCTGGTTCTTCTCATCTTCAGCTTCGCCCATCGTCTCCTTTGTGGGAGTGTGGACGCTGTCGCTTGTGATATCTTGCTTCTTGCTCCAGTGAACAGCTACACCCACACTACGGTCTCCTCACTCATGGCGAAATCTGAAGAAAAAAGGAGAAGAATGAAATGTGTATTAGTTCAAATACTTTCTGAATAAATGAATTGGGCCTGGCTATTCAGAACTCGTCGCCACTGCTAAAGTGGTTGGGTCAATGACATGACTGTTTTTTGTTTTGTCTTTTTTAAATATATTTTCTATGACAAACATGTGTTTAATCTCTACATCAAAACTCATTTGATCTTTGGGAGAGCACAATAAAAAAACATCTCAGGGGGGTTGTGATTTTATATTGAAGTGTTATATAACATTTTTTAGAAATAGTTTTAATCGTGATCTAAAATAAAAGTTGAAATACAGTATATAAATATATATATATATATATATATATATATACACACAATATTATATATTTACAAACTTTTATGATAGGCTATATATACTGTGTGTGTGTGTGTGTGTGTGTGTGTGTGTGTGTGTGTGTGTGTGTGTATACACATATATATATATATATATATATATAATATTATATTTTACAAACATTAATGTTAGATGCGATTAATCGATTTGACAACACTGATATATATTTAAATATAATAATTTTTTCTCCCAAATTAAAGTCATATGATGTGACCAAAATGAAGGGGGGGAACAAAACACATTTTGTGCCAAGGTCAGCTTAAAATATCAGATATTTTGACCTTTTTATGAAAAGTCAAGACTACATAAGGGTGTAAAATGTCATAAAAAATAATAATGATATTTATAAAATAATAATTATTAAACTTGTAATATATAAACTATAAATAAAATATATAAAAGGTTACACAACAGAAAATGTTTATGATTGTTTTATCATTAAATTGAAAATTATATAAAAAAAACTCAAAAAAAACAATATAAAACCAACATGAATACAAAGGTTACATTTTTAAGTTTTTTTTTAAATCTCTCTTTTTTTTTTATCTGCTGCAATTTAGGTTGCCATACTATAGCCTAGGGCAGGAGGCCAAACACTGAGAAACCTACTCCTTTAAATGTCCGTAATCTGATACATTCAAAAGTACATCAACAACAACAGAAGATTTTGACAGGCCAAGCCTGTATCGGTTACATCTCGACCGCGTTTGACGTCAGATCCATGGGTTCATCCATCCGCAGAATCTTGCTGTTGACTGGAGAGATAACAGCTGATGTAACCAGACTGCCAGTCATGCACTTTTTGCAGAGCGCATAGAAAGAAAAACAAAAACTGTTTGTCTTGCGGCTTTGCCCTGCTGAACCGTGAACAGGACAGAGGTGCGCTTTTGCAGGCAGTTGGGGACACGTCGCTGCCCTGGCAAGAAACTCCGGTGGTGTGTATTTTTAGTGAACTCCCCTATAAGATTTCAAAGCCCCTCCACTTCCTCAAGATAATAAGCACACTTTAAAGACACCACAAAACATAAGCACACTTTCAAGAATAAACCTAACACCACATAGAAAGCGAGACCTTTACTGTAATCATACACATGCAGTCTGTAAATATTTCATTAGATACAAAATGTCTAAATGTTCATAATATGTAAAGTGCTGAAAACGGGATCATGTCCTTTCTGTTTGGAAATGAACACGAGAGATGCCTTGAAAGCAGACGTAGTAGGTTTGCTTTGGTAACACTAGACTCATTTTTCTCCAGAACACTTTTTTCTTTGGGATAGGACATCCTCTTGATTTTGTGGTGAGCTAGAGTCAATGCCCAGAGGTATAAAGGAGATGACAGAGCATATTTATTATCTTGCTCTTTTCATAGCCCTCTCTTTTAAAGCTATAGTTACTGTATGACTTTCTTTCTTCTGTGGAACACAAAAGGAGATATTTAGCAGAATGTCCAAGCTCCTCTAAACAAAAATAGATACTAACCAAAGGCTGTCAAATAGAGGTGTGAGATACTAACAAAAAACAAAACAATACTTTCTGTGATTTTGTAAATAACTAGATAATATTTTGCATAGTTATAGTTGGTGCCTTAAGATTTTTTTAGGGAATATAGACTTACATTTCTGTCTGTTCCTCACACAATGCTCTATGATTTGTAATTTTTTGCACAAGTCACAAGTTTTTATGGTGCTTTGTTGTCTTTTGAGAGCTTGAAAGGGGTGTGTGATTTGTATTGTCAACATAAAATCGGAATTGCTGTTTTAACTAGGGATGCACCAATGTTATCAGCCGATAAAATCTATTATTTTTACTATCGACCATCAGCCGATTATTTAAAAACTATGGAAGCTTGTTTCCGCCACTGAATAATGTTTTTTTTTTTTTTAAATTCGACTTTTTTTCTCACAATAGCGAGATATGAAGTCAGAATTGTGAGAAATAAAGTCGCAATTCTGAGAAATAAAGTGGCAATTGCGAGATATAAAGTCGCAATTATGAGAAATAAAGTCGCAATTGCGAGAAAAAAAGACTTTTTATCTCACAATTGCGAGTTTACATCTCGCAATTCTGACTTTATAACACATAATTGCGAGTTTATATCTCGAAATTCTGACATCTTTTCTCAGAATTGTGAGATATAAACTCGCAATTGCGAGTTATCAGGCCAATTCTAAGGGGGAAAAATACTTTTTTCCCCTCAGAATAGTTTATATCTCACAATTCTGACTTTACAACACGCAATTTTGACTTTATATCAATCAATTCTGACTTTATAACACGCAATTGCCACTTTATATCACGCAATTCTGACTTTATTACACGCAATTGCGACTTTATATCAATCAATTCTGACTTTATAACACGCAATTGCCACTTTATATCACGCAATTCTGACTTTATAACACGCAATTGCCACTTTATATCACGCAATTCTGACTTTATTACACGCAATTGCCACTTTATATCTCGCAATTCTGACTTTATAACACGCAATTGCCACTTTATATCACGCAATTCTGACTTTATTACACGCAATTGCGACTTTATATCAATCAATTCTGACTTTATATCTCGCAATTCTGACTTTATAACACGCAATTGCCACTTTATATCACGCAATTCTGACTTTATAACACGCAATTGCCACTTTATATCACGCAATTCTGACTTTATTACACGCAATTGCCACTTTATATCAATCAATTCTGACTTTATATCTCGCAATTCTGACTTTATAACACGCAATTGCCACTTTATATCACGCAATTCTGACTTTATTACACGCAATTGCGACTTTATATCAATCAATTCTGACTTTATATCTCGCAATTCTGACTTTATAACACGCAATTGCGACTTTATTTCACGCAATTCTGACTGTACAACACGCAATTGCGACTTTATATCACGCAATTCTGACTTTATAACACGCAATTGCGATTTTATATCACGCAATTCTGACTTTATATCTCGCAATCCTGAGAAATAAAGTCAGAATTGCGAGATGTAAACTCGCAATTGTGAGAAAAAAAGTCGCAATTACCTTTTTTATTTTTCATTCTGTGGCGGAAACAAGCTTCCATAAAAAACAGCCAATGATAAGGGCCAATTATATCCTGTCAATCAAACGAAACGTGTAACTCATGCTGTGTGTGAAGAAAATGTCTCTTGTGTTGAAGTTAAGGCGGCAATAACTAAAAATAGCGAAGTTAAAGCAGGCTCTATTCACTCTTAGTTTAAAGGTACAAACCAGTCAAGGTACTAGCACAAAAATACATGTTTTGAACAACATGAGGATGAGTAAATGAAAACCAAACTGTAATTCTCAGGTGAACTACTGCTTTAAAAATAGACATGGAGCTGAAATATGGGCAGGAGTGAATGTATCTCTGCAATTACCTGAATATTTCAGTGCTTCCATAAAGTCCTTCCCTCTCTCTCTCTCTCTCTCTCTCTCGCTCCTTGTATATAAATATCATTAATACTATTATAAACTTGCAGTCAAATATCCACTTCTACAGTGAGGCACAATTCAGTCAGCATTATGGGGAACGGTGGCAGTTCTAGGCAGGCCAGATCTCAGTGCCGGTGTGTTTTTAGGACTCTGTTTTGCTAACGGTGGACTAAGAGAGGGGATGTGTCAGCTCTTGTCATGTGGGTGTTAGACGAACTCCCTCTGGAGACAGACGCGCTAATGCTCGCGTTCACTGCATTCCAGACGCCGAACATAGCTGTCCATCAGACCACACCTCTACACTCTTATTTACATGATACGAGAACAGGCTCTGCAGAGACTCCACACTGGACGGCAACCGAAAAATACGAGGCTGCAAACAACTTAAACTTACTGGTTTGTCTTATGAAACCTACTGGATTAAGATGTAATGCTCTCACTGCATTACAAAGTTATCAAAGCATGTGATCTACAGACAGCCAAAAAGATTTTAAGTTCTATCCTTCTGAATATGAATTCTGAAGAATGGTAAATCATTCAAACTGTGTTATGTTGCATGTTTAATTGAATAGGTTGCATCCAGTTCATCTTGGAAATAAAATACTTTTGATTTCTGTGTAAAAGCTCAACGACAATCAGTGTATACGATAATGAAAAATAAAGGTTTTAAAAATCGAATTTGTGCCAAGTTATTCTTTGTACTTTTTGCATTCATGTAGTTTTTATTCAATTTTGAAAAACTTCTCAAAAAAAGTTTACATCTAATGAGTCTAAAAATGTCATGTGGTGTAACCCTTGAGTAAAGAATAACATATTGCTGGTTGGACCATCCTGAATTTTTTACTTCTCCCAAAATCAAAATGTATTGTTGTATCTCTGTTGTAATGTACAGGTAATCCAGGTGTTCAATGCAAAATGTGCACAGTACGCATACTGCAGAAATAGTAAAAATACTAATGGTGGTATGCTAATCTGACATAGCCTGAGACGTTCAGCTGAATTATTTAATTACAGAAAAGCTTGTGTTAAAGCATCATAAACATGCAACCGCTTCACCTCAATAGCATCTACAGCATCCAAACCCAAGGCAACTATACGTGGCCTTTTTAGTATGTCCGCTTGGAAAGCTAAATTAAAATGTGTCAATAACTATAACTGAGCGACTGTCA